CCCAATCTTGCCCCACCTATACTCCCTCCCCCCTGGTATCCCCCAAACTCGCCCCTCTGCCCTAGCAGACTGTGCATCGAGATCTGCATCGCTTGCGTCTTGACACCGTTCGACATTTTCGCAGCCATTTCTCCCATCCAATCCTTCCCTCTCATTTCTCCAGCTTTTTTCCCGCTGGCTTCACAGCCACATCCGCATCAGTGCACCAGCCCATACCGGCTGTTATCTCTTCCGAAACCCGTCTTGCTCTCTTCCATCCACATGTCTTCCACAGAAGCCCCCACAGACGCTCCCCAGCAGGCTCCAGACGAAGGTTCTGTTAGATACGCCGCCTATGCTAACAGATTGAGAACCATCCTTCGTGCCTCCCACAGGTACGTTGCCTACACCTCGGATATCGGTGAGTCCTTCAGACCGGTGGCACACCCATACCTTGTGACATTGGGCTACGGTGTCTCGTGGGCGTACTTGTTGTGTGATGTCAGTTATGCCTCTTGGGTGGTGAAGATGAGAAACGAGGGCAAGTACCGTCCAGGGCTCTTACCATGGCAAGAGGTGGGAGAAGCTGATAAGGAACAGGCTGAGAAGTACAGGGCGCTGGTGCACAATTCGTTGGCGGAAACGGACTGGAGGGTGCAGTTTGCCAAAAGAGGTGTTTTCCAGGGCTTGGCCTCCATGGGTTTGCCTGCTGTGACCATCCACCTGGCGGTGAGGTACTCGTCGGTGCTTTTCAAGAACGTCAAGACCAAGGCCATCAAGACGTACGGGCCTGTTTCTGTGGGTTTGGGTATTGTGCCTCTTTTGCCATACATCTTTGACGAGCCTGTGGAGCACGCTGTGGACTACGTTTTCGACAAGGGCGAGGCCTTGTACAAGCAGAAGTTTGAGTGATAAATAGAAAGCGACAATTTTGTGAGGCTGTAGGTGGGATTAGTGAATTGGTGAGTTGTTGTTTAGGGTCTGGGTAGAGTTTGCCACTCAATTGGTGGCGACAATAGGATGGTGGTGTTTGCTTGGCCGAAACCGTTATCAGTCATTGTCTTTGATCAATGGATGTCATTTCCGGGCATTTGAGCACTGATCGGATTGAATAAGTGAAAGCCATGTTTTTGGATGAACGCTAATTGAAGAGAAACGAACCTCTGCATCTGTAGAGTTTATCTGATCGCAGCTTCTGCAAGTGTCTCGTAATCTGATCGAGGTGCATAAGAAGCCTCGAATAGTTTGCAGCAAAAGTGGCAATTCAAAGAAAATCGAAAATGTAAATCCTCCCTCTGTTATTAACCCTCGTAAAAAAAACACCTTCTTGATGACTGCCTCGTCGCTACAACTCGTGTGACACACCCACCATCGACTACACACCGCCACCCACCCTACACCCTACACCCTGTTCCAGATCATAAAGCGTCAATTTTCAACTCCTGCCTTTCTCCCCCTTCTAACCTATACCTGCGGCTTGGCGTAGTTGTACTCTCCGCAGTTCTTGCACGTTCTGGCATCGTCGTCTCCGTCAAACGACATGATTGCTTCCTTTACCTGTGTGCCCAAGTCTGAGCAGTAGAAAACAATCTCGTGGACAATCTCCTTGCAATTTCGACAGTACCATCTGATTTTGTCGTTGACATTCTCGGGCCTATCCTGTTCCACAACCAAACCTATCGTGTTGGCAAATCTCACCGGATTATGGGGAACGTTTCCGGGCAACAAGAAGGAGTCGCCTTCCTCGATCACAATATCCTTGAACTCGCCCTCGTCAACAACCTTCAAACACATTTTGCCTTTGAGTTGGTGAAAATACTCGGGTGTCTGATTCACATGGTAGTCTGTTCTTTCGTTGGGTCCACCCACGATCATCACGGTGGCACCTCCTCGGTGGAGACAGTAGTTGTTGACTGGAGGTTTTAAAAGATGGCCATTTTCGGCTATCCAGTTTTTGATATTGATTGGAGGAGTAAGCATCGTGTGATTTAGAGAAACCGCAGGATGACTTATTGAACCGCAGGTGACTCAGACTGCACGAACTAGACTATGCCAGCTTCGGAGTGAAGTACAGCAAAGTTGAGGTAAGGGTCCAATAGTTCGCGAGAAAAAAAAGAAGCTTCCCCACCAGGAGTCGAACCTGGAATCTTCTGGTTCCAACAGAAGTGGTTACTTATCGTAGCCAGACGCCTTGACCATTGGGCCATGAGGAACGAAGCTTGGTAGAAGGGAATGTGGGTTTGATATATAGTGTGTTTTTTGGTGGTATAAAAAGGTCAAATTTGAAGGTCTAGATATGTTAGTTGTGATTTTAGTATTGTGCTGGCGAATTTTCAGCGCTCTAGGGCCAATTTTGAGCGAATTATGGCAAAAAGTCGTCACTTCAAGGAAAATGCTAGTAAAAGTTGGATTGATGGATAGCTTGGATGTTCAGCTGTTCATAGAGATGCTGATATCTATTAAAATCGCTTTGTGACCGAAGTAGCGTGTGAATGTTCTTCTCAAGATTGGTGCCATCTATGCAATAACAGTACTCTTCAAAACAACTAAGCCGATATCACTTCATCTTTCCAGATTGGATACAAGATTGGAAATTCAAAAGTTTTGTATTTGCCACCCGTTCTCATGTGCATCGGTGAAATACGAAAGGCTGAGTCAGTGCATGCTCTCCTGCCCACTGTGCTATTTCTTATCACAAACATATATAACTTCAACACTTCAACTTTTTGAATAGAACTATCGAATTTATTGCTCACCAGCAAAAACAATGCAACTCGCATCCCATCTTTACCTTGTGTCGTGTGTGTTACTACTGGTCGTGATCGCCGAGTCTGTAACGCTTGAGGACCATCTCAATATAACTTTGGCCAGTGTTGAAAAATGTAATAAGGAACTCAATGTGACAGCCACCGTCTTTGTTAAAAACGACAGACAAGTGTTGATACAGTTGCCGGCTGAAAACAACAGCTCTATATCCAGTGATGAGACTGAGGAGCGGTACATTGAGTGCTTACAGAACATCAGTGAATTGACAACATTCACGATTTTCGAAGACAGTCCGGAAGTTTTCTCGGAATCACACGAATGCCAATTGAGTGATGCCACAACTTGGCTCGAAAGAAATGGTATAGATGATCCAGTGGTGGCACTGCCTTTAGATGATGTAACACATTTTACTTCGAGGGTTACTGTCAAAGGACTGGTAAATCAATTACTTTATTTGTACTTTTTAGAGCATATAGGAATTACCAAAGGCCAGGTAATAGGAGGCATTCAGAGAAAACAATTACGTGACATTTTCCGATTCACTGTCACTCGAGGAGGCATAACAATGGCAATACTATAACATAAAGAAGCGACTTGAATATTAGTATACGAGCTAAGATGCCGCTTCAAAGCAATATGTAAATACTAAAATATAGTTATTAATTTACAGCAGTCGATCTGGTTTGTAGCTTTGGGTTCTGAACTACCTAGTGGCTGCGAAAAGCATACAGAAACCACTAATCTACACAAATAATAAAACACGGGGAAGAAAACTCAATAATAAATACATCAAAAGAATCCATCGAATCAAATACCTGTTAAACTCCCCTTCTACCCTTAAAAAGCTCAATGGGTACCTCAAACAGTCACCTCCCAGTATCATCCTCTATACGCCTTCCGCACTCACCTAACTCCATATCTTCAACTACTACTCCTGCTTTCTCCACTACACCACAAGATGAAAGTCCTCATTGTGGTACGCTTTACAGATTCTGTATCTGGAGAGCTGATGCCAGACTTGGAACTCCCCTTTACCATAAATTTCGATAGAGACGATGTGAACACCCTAGTGTCAAGCATGTGGCTCAAGGAGCAGATAAGGACACAACGAGAGGGAACAGAAAGAAGAAGAATACGACTTATCTACAACGGCAGAGTGTTGAACGAACTCACAAACTTCAGAGACGACATTTTCGTGCCCAAGTTGCGTCTGATGGAGGTAGACGAACAGCTCAAGATCTACATCCACTGTTTAGTGGGAGAGACCCTCACGGGAAGCCAGCTCAGCGAGGAGCGAGAGCTTGATAGAAGACCTCAACAAGTCTCTACTGCTCCACAGGTTGTTGGTTTTGACCGCTTGCTTCAACAGGGCTTCAGCCAGGAAGACGTGAATGACCTCAGGCGGCAGTTCAGAGATGTTTATTTACCCGACGCTCTCCAAAACTTGAATGCTGGAGACGTGACAGATATAGAAGAGGAGGAGGCTCGCCAGCAGCTCATACGCCAGCTTGAAGAGCGTTGGATCGAGTCCACGATAAACGGGAACACCGCCAATACCACAGTTAGCGCAGGCGCTGACGACGATACCGGTGTGATAGCGCCGACCGTGAGGGCCTCAGCGGAGCTAGAGGAGTCCAACAGGAACGAGGATATCGTTGTGGGCATGTTGATCGGAGCCTTTTTGGGTGTGGTTGCCTTGGTGTTCGAGGTGTTAGACGACAGCTACATGAGCAAGGACCGCCGGTGGGCCGTCTTCGCAGGCGTGATGATGAACGTGATGTACGCCATTCTACGGGGGCAGTGGTTGTGAGGAAAGTTGCAGCATTGCACCTTAGTATGGAGAAATCATGTATCAAGCCAGGCAATTCTCACGCCAGGCAAATTGCTCAGGCCAGATCTCAAGCCAGACAAGTAAAGAAAACAACCAAAGGGGACTTAAGCTGTTTTTTAAGGTTAAACGGTCCCATAATACCCCAAATGATACCGGATGCTCTCTAGCTTATGTCTCGCCCATGAAGGTGTCTTACCATAGGGAATCAAGAGCTTTAATAATGTCAGAATATAGATATCAGTGAATGACTTGTAGCACTGCTACCAATGCACTGACAAAGGAAAGAAAGAAGAGAAAGGTCCTGGATGTTACTCCTTCAACCTTAGTTCACATAGTCCAAGGTCCCTAGTACACCTAGGATAGGACGAAAAGGTCGTTCGACACCAAATAGCTTGCTTCAGCTAAGAACGCTTCTTTGGTACCATTTGGCGCTAGACTCATACTATACCGTGAATGTAGTGATTTAAGTGACAATGCAAATCTTCAAAACCATGTCGATTTTGCAACACCACCCCATCGCTACATCACACGAGTTCACGCAACCTACACTTCTTCGTGAGCGGCCAGGCCGTACTCACATTCTGGAGAATGTCTGATCTACCAGCCCTCACGAGCTCCACAAGCTGAGTCCCAAAAGAGGAAAACAGCTCGACAGCGAGACACATGAAAGGGCGCTAAGATGATCGTTGGTCCATCACTGGATGTTATTCTGGCCAGAACTTGACACTTGCCAACTCGTAGGGATATCGGAAACAGACAAGCAACACGGTATAAGTTCTGGCCGCCGCACGAAGAAGAAAAGAAAAAGCTGAAAAAGATGAGATGGGCCGCTGTATAAGTAGGTGGGTGCTGCGTTACCCGGTGTGGGCTGTATGCAGGTGGCACCAGAGGATTCAGTTAGGTCTCTCGATTTGGATTGTGCCGGGCGTTACGTTGGTGGGGTTTAAAGTTTTGATGATTATTTGTGGACTCAAGTGGCTTGGATTAGATGATTGAGGGTTGTTTTTTGGACGTTGTGTTGGTGTGAGTTGGAGATACGCTGAAATGGCTTGAAGCTGGGTAGCTCGATTCCGCTGAAATTTGTAACATACCCTATTGAGTCGTTTGATCAAGAAGCGATGAAGTTATGACTTTCAAGTGAGTAGGTGTTGCTTGTGAAGAGCGTTGAAATGGTGTGGGTGAGGTGGCTGCAAAATGCTGCACCATGTCTGCGTACATAAGCGAGAAGAGTCTAACTGTGGGACGATGCACAGAAAATCTCCTTCTATCGAATCATTTGTTTTCATAACTATTCCCTGTTCACGCCAGTTTTACTAATAGGTCCTTAGATAGTGTGGATGGTGAAAGTATTAAGAAGTCCCGATAGCCCTAATACGCTTGAGTCGCTTCTGGATGCCACTAGCATCACCTACCAGTCAGATACGTTTCTACAAAGATATTCCAAGCAGTACCATTCAAACTCCAACTACAACAACAATCTATTCAATTCACATTTATACCGACTTGCTCCAACTACAAACACCATTCGTGGTTTCCAGAACCAACCATAACATCTCGGCAGCAACCCCATCTTGCCATACTTTCACATCCATTGTCCTTATACCATTGATCACCCTTATTCATCATCACCCTTTTTCACATCATGATCACCCTTCTCCATCTGACGCTTGGCTGCGAAAAACAATGGACACCACAAATGTCATATGCGTCGCTTCCATCCTGATCAGAAGGCTCTTCCCACCACCTCGGGGATTGAACATCCCGGTTTTAGCCGTTTGGGATCAACAAGTCCCTATTGCCGGGCCCAATTGCAAGCGAGATACGCCGGGCCCGCAGACGCACCACTCCGGTCCGCAGCTAGCGAGTCCGAGGGGACGCCTAACGCCGAGAAGGCTTAGATAAGAGAAATTGGATTTTTCTTCGTTGCAGCACCCCGACTTCTCCGCCTTCAGCCAACTTAAACTTATTCACAAAATCTTCATTCAATTTGACGCGGGTCTCCACACGCGAGGCGATAAGACCCCAGGGCACAAAATACGCTGCCGCCGAGTGGTTCGAGCTTGGGGATCAGTCACGTGACGCGCCTATGTCCTGTTTGGGAAAGTCTCTTAGCGGAGGGGCCCAGGCGACGAAAAATAAGGTTGATCCGTTTCAGCTTGGCTATTTTTGCAAAAACGGCGTCTCAAGTAACCCCGGGCCTGTTTCTCCGAGTCTTCAGCACATCTATTCCCCAGTGTATCGTGTCAAAAGCTGCACCCCTCACTGCACATTTTTTCGAGCATTGAGCATTTTCGCCCTGCCCAAATTCCACTGCTACTCCATCTTTTCTTTTCATGTCTGAAAAACCATTACCCTTCATTTACCAGTTCGCCTCCGGCGCCATCGCCGGCGTGTCCGAGATTTTGGTCATGTACCCTTTGGACGTGGTTAAAACCAGACAACAATTGGCAACCACCTCCGATTACAATGGTACCATTAGGTGCTTGAGAAAGATCGTGGCCGAGGAGGGTTTCTCCAGATTGTACAAGGGTATCACCGCCCCTATTTTGATGGAGGCACCAAAGAGAGCCACCAAGTTTGCGGCCAACGACGAGTGGGGCAAGTTTTACAGAAAGCAGTTTGGTGTTGCGGAGATGAACCAGTCTTTGGCAGTTTTGACGGGTGCTACTGCCGGTGCCACCGAGTCGTTTGTGGTGGTGCCTTTCGAATTGATCAAGATCAAATTGCAGGACAAGACCTCCAAGTTCAATGGCATGGGCGACGTGATGAAGCACGTCATCAAGGAAAACGGGCTTTTCGGCATGTACAAGGGTTTGGAGTCCACCATGTGGAGACATGTGGCGTGGAACGCCGGCTACTTTGGTTTGATCCACCAGGTCAGAACCTTGATGCCAAAGCCAAAGACTAGCAGCGAAAAAACCATGATTGACTTGACCTGTGGTACCATCGGTGGTACTTTCGGTACCATCTTGAACACACCTTTCGACGTGGTGAAGTCCAGAATCCAGGCTGGTTCCTCCAAATACATCTGGACTGTCCCCTCGGTTTTGACGGTGGCTAAGGAAGAAGGTTTCGCTGCCTTGTACAAGGGTTTCATCCCCAAGGTCTTGAGATTGGGCCCAGGTGGAGGCATTCTTTTGGTGGTGTTCACCACGTGCATGGACTTTTTTAGAACCATCCACGAGAAGAAGTAGTCCGCCCTTTTACCTGTAATATATCCATGTATTTACTTCTTTCTGCGGCTCACCCACGTAAAGTCATACAAAACGGCAAACATGTCGAGGATCTCCACTTGCTTGTCAAAGTCAACGTAGTCTTGGTACCTGTCCAAGTACTTGAACGTGTCTGCGTAGTTGAAGGCGCCCAACAGCACCGTGGTAAGCGGCGGCTTTTCATTCTCCTTGGGCTCGGTGCCCAATTCCAGGGTGATCTTGCTGAGTTTGGCGTTAACCTCGTAGAAATCACGCTCGCGTGTTTCCAGAAGATCAAACTCTCTCTTGAGTGCTTCCAAGTAGGCATCGACTCTTTGGAAGTTCTCCTTCTTGGTGATGAAGCGGTCGTAGATGGCTGCAATTGGCTGCAAACTCTGAAGCATTGTGAGGAGCAAATCGTACTTGACCAGCTTCACCAGATGGGAACCAAAGATCCATGAATCCTCGGCAATCTCGAATATACCGTCGTACAGTGGCCCGAGAATGAGGTCGAACACCAGGAACACCTCCTCCACAACGTACTTTGAGTCCTCCTCGTTGAAGTTCTTTGCAACAAACTTGACAAACGAGATCAATGTCTTATAGAGCTCCACCCACCTGTAGGCGCCGATATTGTCCACCTGGGCCTCCTCAAACTCAAGAAGAATGTGGTACAACACCGTCAAGGCGATCTTGCAATTGTCCAAGTCGAGCTTCTTGTTCAAGTTGAACCTCAAGACGATTTGCAACACATCAATGATGTACAAAAGGATGTTCTTGTCGCCCCTACCGCCCAAGTCATCCGGGACCACAGGCGATCTGTGGTGACACAACTTCCATTTGAATTCATTGATGGTCAACGCCTTGAGGTGCTCCATGTTGCCGGCCTTTCTCAGCACGAGCTTGAGAAGAATAAGGAGCACCAACCTAGCGCTGAAGGTGTTGATCTTCAGCCTCACCTGATGGTGAAGAACATACGATGAGACGCAGAGCCAAAGGCGCAAGATCGACACCGATTCCGTGGATTCCTCCTGTTGAGTGGTCAACACTTTCATAAAGGAGGTATTCAGCAGCAACGAGTAGAGAAGCAAAGTCACGTTCAAGAAACCAGGAGACCGTAAGGCCCGCTCGTCATCTGCGTAAATGACACCCACGGCATTGAGACGAGACGTGCATTCATAACGGAGAATCTCCTCAAGCAACGGATCCTGCTTCAACTTGTTCACGGAACTGAGGTTCTTGCAGTTTTTGCTGAAATTCGTCACCTGCTCCACAGTGTCCACCGACATGTACCCGCTGCCGGTGAGTTTGTGGCCTGTGATCCACGAAAAGAAAGACGAGTGGTTGAGCTTGTGTGAAAGCAAATCTTCCATAAGGCCATAGAAGTAGTTGAGGTTAGCAGCCAATACAGGCACAATCCTGGAAACGTAAGGTCCAAGCACGTCTGGGTCCAAAAAGTCCTTGTGGCCGAGGTAGTTGGTGTATATGTTTGGCGATGTCGTTTTGATGGTGGTGATGTCCAAGGACAAGGAGATCTTATCAAGGAGCAAGATGCTCAACGGACTGCTGGCCAAGGAGCCCTGGATCACGTAGAGCTGCATCAATGTCTCGTAGGAAAGACGAATGTCGTCCTTGGACGTCGGGTGCTCGGTGCTTTTCCATGTCTGGGTGTTGATGCTATCGAGCGTCTGTGAGAAGTCCACTTTGAAGAAGGAGTGAAGCACACTTTTCACAATAAGAAACCGCCTCAGCCCGGGCTTGTCCCGCTCCAACGCAATTGCCTTGTAC